TTTGACTAGTGGTATTCATTTTAACCTTGACGACATATTATTAGGTTCACCCACTGATGGTTTTGATTATATTTTGAGTATAGATTTAGTTCTGAAACTCCAATATCTTTTGCAATAGCATCTGGTAAGCTATTTTAAAAATATTCAATATGAGAGTTTTAAGACATAAAATATTTTAGGAGGTTGGGTTAGTAGACAAATTTAAGAGTAAAATTTATATGATTAGATTTGTATGTGTTAATATAAAGTTAACCAGATAAGTATTTTGCAACTTTTTTTATATTTAGCTCATTTTTATACATTAAACTTTCTTATAATTAACAACTAATTTGTAGATTTTAAAAAATCTAATTTCAGATTTGACGATCAGTTTATTCATGAATTATTTAGTATGAGCCAAGGTTCTTAGTTTTTGTTATACAAAGCTGATCTATATATTACACCTGATCTTAAATTTTGATTGGCTATAATATTCTAATGCTGTGACACTATAGTGCTATAAAAATATTTTTATTTTTTATATTTATTATTTTTTATATTTATTATTTTTTTATTTATTATTTTTTATATAAAAACTATAAAAGTAGAAAGAAAAATAAAAAAGATAAAGGTTTGTAATCTATAAACAAACCAAAGTGAATTCAAATAGATGTAATGGAAAAGTATAATTATTAAATTTTTTTTATAATTACATTTTAAATTTATAATATTAATTACTACATTATTATTATATTTTTAAAATTAACTTTGACCAACTTAGTAATCAAAATAATTTATTCAAAAAGCAAAGACCATCTTTTTAACAAAATAAAAAATTATTAACTCAATCGAATAGAATATATAATGCTATTGCAATAAAACTAAAATCTTCTAATGAATCAGAAGCAATTTTTTTACAAATAATTATAAGTAATTATTTAAGTTTGTAATTCTTTTACAATTATTTCATTATAATTTGATCCTTGATAAATATGATATTTTTGTATAAAGAATCAAACAGTTGGCAAAAAACTAAATCCAGTAGTATATCATTATTATTGCTAATTATTTTAGTATATTTGTATATACTATAAAGTTAACTTATTCTCTATTAAAGATATATGAATTTGAAACTATTAATAGGTTTGGTAACAATCTCAATATTCAATCTAAGCAATGCATTATCAATATCTAATTAGAATACTTCTATAATAGAATGTTATCTGATTTTTAGCTTTTAACATCTTTACCCAATTCAATTGCTATTGATCTTTTTCCTGTTCAACATTCTGTTTTACAAATATTAGCTTCTTAGTTTTTAAAGGTTAAATATAAAATTTGTTTAATTTTTAATCTGTATATTAATGGTATCAATGATGTGTTGCTTTGTTCATTTTAAAATTGTGCATAACTACTTAATAATTAAAATCATACAAAATGACTTTCACATATACTCAAATATATTAGGCTCTTTTTACTTAAATTTTTCTTTAGAAAAATGTTAATATACAACTCTTTATAAGCACATTTTTAAAAAATTACTATGTTCCTGATAGTGTAATTAGAGAGAAGTTACACTGTATTGCACACTTTTTTTATTAATTATGTGGATTTTTATTGATTTATATTATGCATTTTTATTATGCAATTTTTTCTAATATAGCTAAATTTTATTATAAAATTTTTTTAATTTTTTATGTTTTCTTCATGTGAAAGAACATTAATTTATAGGTATTATTGCTTAGTCGTATAATTTATTGTTTGGGCAGATAATTTTTAATTCGTTATTTTTTAAATTTTCACCGATCAAGTAATGAACTAGTTCATTTAAGAATTCCATAATGATCTAGGTCAATTCAGAATTGATCGAAATCGTAAAATGAGCAAGAACATATACACTTTAAAAATTATCATTTAAACAATATAAACTTTCAGCGGTATACTGTTACCTGAGTTTATTAAGTTTTAGAATCGAAGGAATATAACAAATCCAGATCTGCATATAAAAAAAAAACTTGGATATCGATTAATATCGACGATATAAAAATACTGTAATTCAGATTAAAAAAATTGTAATTAGAAATCAAACTTTAATTAGCAACTTGTTTAATATTATTTGATCTATAAAATATTAATTAAAAGACTATGCCTAAAACTGTATTTGACAGTGACAGAATTTATATACAATTGTTAAAGTCAAAGCTGTACATGTTTAAATGAAAGAAATCCTACTTGCATATAAATGTGATTAATAAAGAATATAACAGATAAATAATACTACGAAACTGTATGTACATACTGTACATGAGAAAAAAAAATACAAAATGATATGAATTATAATTATTAATTAAAAATTAATTGACTTAAGTAATTGCAAATTATTATTATCCTGCAAAATGCACCAAAAAAAAATTATAGAGCAACGCCAGTTTGCTCAACAATAAAATGACATTACTCTCGTTATAAATCATTAATTCCATTAGATAAGTTATTTATTGAAATTGAATTACGGGGTGATGACGGGGTAACGACCACATGTGGAGAGTGTATTATGTCATATTGGATGATTTGAGAATCGGTTATTGTCGGAGAAGAATTTGAAATTGTAATGAGTGCTGAAGCATTTCCTTCCAAAGTTTCATAACTCAATTTTGTATGCGTATTGGTTTGATAAATAGAATTATGCTTTTTTGAACTATAAGAATTATGCTTTTTTGAACTATAAGAATCATGCTTTTTTGAACTATATGAATAATGTTTTTTTGAACTATAATCAAAACCATCAGTGGGTGAACCTAATAATATGTCGTCAAGGTTAAAATGAATACCACTAGTCAAATCAAATTGAGCCTGTTCTGTTGGTGTACGATGACCATCGAGAAATAAAAAGTTATGAGATTTCACTTGTCCCGAAAAAGGTTCTCCTGGAATCGAGAGTTTTATATCGCCAATAGAATGTTTTCGAGAATTTAATGATTTAAGGGCGTAAGATGAACTGTTTTGGCTGTAATGAAAATAGGAAAGTATAATAAATATATATATACTAATTAATTAATTTACAATTAATTTACAATTAATTTATAAACTAATTTATATAAATTATAAGCTTATAAATTATATAAATTATTATATATATAATATGTCAAACACTTACAAAGGTCTTAATGTTCCAGTAGGACTATATTCATCAGGTCTCTCTCTAAAGCATGAAATAAATGAATCCAAATGAATCATTCTTCCCCACTTTTTATAAGTATTCATAGCGTCTTTGCCAACACCAAAAAAAATAAATACAAAAAATCCGGTCAGTGGTTTCGCATAATCGAAAAAGGATATACCACGATTAAATCTTGTAACTCTATCAAAATTTTTATTAAACAAATTAAATTCGATTGTGCCATCAGCCATAGCAACATTACTGAAAAATGTTACAAGGGAAGCAGGAAATGAAAAAAGCAGAAAAGTGATGCAAAAGAGTACAAGGCGGTAAAATTTATTAGTGCTGAGCCCAGATTCAGTATAAATTAAAAGACTTTTAATTTCAAGTCGTTTTTTGATAATTGAGTAGGATGTGCGAGCTATTATCGTTATATATACGTAGCGATAAGTGGTAATGATAATTTAAGATAATTAATTAACGTTAATATTAATTATTAATACTGTAATAAAGAAATAGAAAACACGTGATCAAGAATAAATACAGACGTACGTACGTACGTACCTGCATAATAACTTCCAATAAGAGAAATTATAACTGGCCATATTCCATCTAGCAAGAAAAATAATATATCTGAATGCGCAGGAGAAAAACAACCTAAAATAGGTTTAATTCCATATTTATTTGTCTGGATAAGATAATATAATCCGACAAAGATAGCAGGAACAAGGATTGTGAACAATAAAATTTTCACAGCTTGTTTCTTTCGAACGCGTTCGGTCAAGATAACGGGGTTTGAGACATAAGAATGAAGAGTATAAATCATGCAAGTAATTGAAGTCAATAGACCAAAATTCGAGCCAACATATAATGGGGAAGAAATTAAACAATAGATCGGGGCCTTGTCATCGAGGTCGTCAGCCCAGAGGATAGAATTTATAAACAGTATAGTATTCGTCACTATAACCCAAAAAGTCATTAAAATAGCACCCCAATTACGTGTTTGAATATGAAAAATTCCCGGAATGATGCATAATAAGACCGCCAGCAATGCGGAGGTCGTAAAGAGATAATCAGCCATCTTTGACTTATTACTATAGCATATATTCTACAAAAAGATCTTTTTAAGATCTGGGAAAAAAAAGGAAATGAAATTGAAGATTGACTTTTAAGCAAAAGAATGAATAAAATCAAATAACAAAAATAGAATAGCAAAGAATAGTAGAAAAGGAATCTTCAAACAGGAAAAGGAGAGAGAAAAGTCTGAGAAAACCTCTAAACATACAAGATAAATTAAGATAATTCAACACAAAGAAACATTTACAAGATATAAATAATTTGCAGATACAAAAGTCAAATAATAAGGCAACAAAGAAATGCAAGATGGATTATATATAAGCTTATTTTTTGCGTTTTGATACGTAATTTAACAAAACTATGAATATAGATTATATATAGATTATATATAGGGTATCACTATCGCTATAACGATTAAGCTCATCATCTAATACTAATGTAAACCAAACCATTGTAGGTTAGCAGTATGACACGATGACATGTAACTATAACATTGTAGTAGTTTAAAAACTAGGTGCATATCCACAAACCAATATTTCACCCATGTAATCAATAACGATAACAAGACCATTACCAGAATTAAATAAAAATAGTTGCATTTATTTGTGTAATATGTGTACGTATAGGTTTATGCTACATACCGATACTTTTCTAGTCGAACAAAACAGTTTTGGAAATTCAATCCGTAACACCATTGTTTAAATTAAAATACCATTCAATTAATGATACCGATACGTAGTTTTGTTACACTTTACCATTAATGGCGCTTTCGATAATCTTTGGTACGTATGATGACTTGCATTTCTTCGATATAATCGTGCGTCATGCTTACACACATCATATCCTCATATATTTGATGTCACAACGTGCCAAGCACTTTTTTTCTTTCTTCACTTTAATCTTGAACACTACTACACACGATTTTTTTTAAACTAAACAAAAAAGTATGTAAAGAATGATGGCATTGCCTCTGTTCATCATTTACTTACAAATTTAATATTCTAAAATTGACCAAAAAGGTTTTATTTTTATTTTATTTTATTTTATTCTGTCTTATAGATATTGGTAAATCCTATATCGATGAGTTATGAAAATGCTTTCAAACATACGATAAATCACTAATGAATTTGATTATATCGGAATTTCAAAAATTGACACAACCCAATCATATCGGATATATTTGTCAAATAAGTGTGAAATTCTTCATGGGTTGTGTAGCCTAATTATTCAATCATGTGAACCCGATTTACCTTTAACAATCTTGAAATATTAAAAATTAATATATAATTTAAAATACACTTTCCTAATTTAATTTCGGTTTGTGTTGGATATTTTGATTAATAATAATAATAATAATAATAATAATAATAATAATTTGATAATAATAATAATTTGTACTATTAACAACACCTATTTCAAATTTTTTTCTTAAACAAAGACTAACGTCTGGAATCTTAAACTCTTCAACTTTTTGCACGTTAGATAATTTTGCTTATAATGAAAAATATTATTGATCTACCTTGATCATGTAGTTGTGGAATATAATGCCGATATTATATATATATATTTAAATTTATAAATTGACTGTTAATAAATCAAAAAATCAATTATTATAAATCGCACCAGTGGTGTTGAACACCATATAATTTTTTATTAAATATACTTAAGGTTAAATACTTAAGGTTAATATATATTTAAGGTTATATAGTGTTAAACATTAGAAGCTATAGACTAAAATTAAAGCTGAAAATAAAGTTGGATAAGTTTTTTAGGTTGCTGAACATTTTACTTAACATATCCGGCCTTGGTTTTTTAGAAATGGCAGCTGTGGTGTTAAACACCACTGGTATGATGAAAAAAATTAGGTTAGCAATACGTATAAAGAATTTAATTAATATCCTAAACTAACATTTTACGAGAAAGGAATGGCCTCAAAATTATTGTAAATTATATTCATAATCAACATCGAACTGTTTCATGTTCCTATTAATTTGGTCCTACTTTCTTACGTAAATTTGTTACTCTGCAATCATAAAGTTGATATAGATGTAAACAAAGGCCTGTCATTATCTTTTCTCCACATATATGCACATACATACGTATAGGGATGTTAAATTGCGAATCCAGTCCGGTCCGGTCCTAGGATCTAAAAGGACGGTCCTGGACTCGGTCCTTAAATCACATGAAAATACAATACAGTTTAATAAGACTTAGATCCTGTATCAGATCCTGAATTGAATCTATCGAATAAGTTTATCCAATCAAATTAATTTTGTATTGTTATAATAATTCAATTCAGGATCTAAGTCCTATAAAATGTATTGTATTTTCGTGTAACTTAAGGACCGGATCCTTAAAAGGATCTGAAAGGATCGGTTAGGACTCGATCCCAAAGGACCGATTAACATCCCTACATACGTATGTACGTACTCTTCAATTAGCTAGCTAAGCTTAATAAGAGAAATAAATAAATTTATTTTGGCATAATAAATGTGAGGTGATTTAGTCCAATTTGAGGTGATGGATTAGTAATCAAAAGTAGCCATTTATCGCTCACAATAAATAACCTCACTATTGTAGTACAATTGAATATTTTAAGGGTAAACACTAGGCATCCAACATATAGTATCTCCAAAAAAACTTTGCTACTGCTTATTTCATTGACAATAACTTTATAGACACTTTATTTCATAGATCTATAATATACAGGCAAGATCATTTCATAGACAACTTATTTCATAGATCTATGATATTTAGGCATGATCATTTCATAGACAACTTATTTCATAAACAATTCATTTCACAGATAAGCAAGCTATAATTTCTATTCTAATTTCGTTTGTCTGTAAAATCAACTTATCGTTATAGGTAAATTAATTGTCTATGAAATAAGACCGATATGGACCAAAAATCTTAAACACTAACGCTAAAGATGGATTTACAGCAATAGCAAAGTTTATGATCTGAATTCATTGAAGCTAGGTCGACATTAGGCAATAAAGAAATAACTATCAATTCTATTATTCTTCTTGTTTTTTTAGACAAATTTGTCTAAAGTTTTAAATTATATTTAAAATTTTTTAAATAAAATATAAATAAAAAGATAATTTACTATATAATAACTTATATTATATCCAAAGCTATTTTTAGCAACTCTTTCCAACAATCCTCTAGTCAACAACAACAAAAATCGAACTACAGCAAAATATATGGAAAAGCAACAAAGTAAATACTAAACTTGGTCCTGTAAGTAGGAGCAGCTTGTTGTCGACAAAGTCTAAGCATCTAGACATGATACACTGAGGAGCGGGCATTAAAAGAATAGATAGTTTTCTTTGAGATTAAGTTTTTTTTTCTTTAACAGATTCCCCAAGGTATTTGGTATTCAAACCAGAAGGGTTATTCTGAAAACAAGTCTGTAGAAGTAGTCAATATGCATTTCTAAGTTGGTAGAAATAGAGAAGCTGAATTTTACAATTGTAAAACTTATAAGAAGAACCTCATATATTCTTGTTGGCCCATTACTTTTTTCGAAGAAATTTTTGTAAAAAGTAGGTATTTTAGTTTATCCTTTTCAAATAATCGACATTATGTGTGTCAAACAAGTTAGCATTGTTTATCTTTCAAATCAGAACAGAACAACAAACACGTATATATACATGCCTTGAATAAAATAGATATCTGTACAAATGATGCTTTGAGACTTGGTTTTGACTTCTTTACAACTAAGCCAGTCGATAAAGTTTTTTCTATCAGGTTTTTACTTTGATATACTAGGTAAATAAATATAGAAGTAGAGACTAATTTGTTTAGTGTCTAGTATATAATTTTTAAACTCTGGCATAAGTTATAGTGTAGTCAAGACTCTTGCATTTAATAGTAGTTCATTAATTTGTATAGTTAGAAGTTTTCGCTTGGTTAGCAGATTTTTTTCTTTCTAGTGATAGTTTTTTTTAAGTTTTAGTTTAGTTTTTTTTTATATTCCTTAATATTAGTATTCATTTGCTTTGATGTATTAATAATAATAATATCCTGATCCGTTGGAGATTAGTGGAAATGAAGTTTCCGCTTATTCACATACGGTCAGGGTACAATATGACAAAAATATATGGACGTACTAGGTTTAGATTAGGTTTAGGCAAATTTAAATATCACATGGACAATATTTTACATG